TTAAAGTTAACCTCTTTCTTACTTTATATTATAATAAGGATATAAGCACTTCTATGTAACCCAGTTTAATGAAGCAGAACGTGTTGTTCCCTCTGCTGGAATCCCCAAACGGCAGCTTGTTGCTAGACACAAACAGACACACACTTGCACAACAACAAGGAGCAGACTCTGGTACCTTAAGTGATCATACAAGTGATTTTCAGCCTTATCTGTGTACGTCACAGTAAAACCTGGTCCTGTGCTGCATTTATTTAACCAAGGTCCCATTGTTCTTCATATATAAAGTAATATCACAAACCAGTCGCTGTGAGCAGACATGTACGCACGGAGATACATTTAAAAGCTGCTGCTCCGGTGGCAGAAACAAATCTAACATGGAAGTAAAACCAGACAGTGACATGAAATCAAAGCTGAGTCTCTTACCAAATCTTGTGTGTAGCTGGAGTCTGTCAGGTGCTGTAAGTGCTGGTGTGAGTCTCTCTCTCTCTCTCTATCCTGACACCTGAGACACAGGTGCAGGTGAAGTGTCGGAGGGCGTGTTGTCCTGTGATGACAGCACAGGGGACGATGGCGGACGAGGCCTGCACGCCTACTTCTGGCCTGGACCTCTCTGCAACTGCTGCGTTTATGTGTTCACGAGTGTTGATTTAAATTCATGTTGTTGAATATACCTGTATGTTCGCTCGGCTCGTGTGTGTGTGTGTACGAACACCTGTGGGAAAGAAAAAGCAAGAAAGAGCCACGAGGTGTAAAGTTACATCCGATTCACGTCGAGCAGGTTACACCTCTCTGGTGTTTGTTTCTGATGTGAAAGCCTTTATGAAACAATTTCAACTCAATCATGTGTTTAACTCACGTCGGCGTCACAGACTCCGAGTGAGATGCTTCATTGAGTGAATGTGTGTTTTTATGTGATACATTAACCTAATTATTATTATTATTATTTTATCTAGTTTATTGTTTTATTTATTTCTCTGTGTATTTCAGGAATTTAAAAAATGTAAGTTAATTGTCAAAGTCAGTGTGATGAAAGAGTCCGAGAACAAGCCATTCCCAACTCTGACGCTTTGGTATTTATGTGCATGTACGTGCACACACAC